TCTCTCTCTCTCTCTCTCTCTCTCTCTCTCTCTCTCTCTCTCTCTCTTACTTTCTTTTACGTTATATGGCTTTTACTTTGCGTATTAATGACCTTCACTTTATCTCTAAATAGCTGTCATTAGGAGTATTTATGATTTGCTTTCTCATCAGTCATTGTGAATTGTCCTTTTTTGTTTTTTTTTTTCTCAATTGTCACCAAAATCAGACTCGCTTTTTCAATCCCTCTCAATTGTCACCAAATTCAGAGTTGCTTTTTCAATTCGACAAGTTATCAACAAATGAAGACTTTCTCTTTCAATTCTTTTTCGATTGTCAACAAATTCAGACTCTCAATTAGCAACAAATTCGGACTGGCTTTTTCAATCCCTCTCAATTGTCACCAAATTCAGAATCGCTTTTTGGCTCTTTACATTGTATATCATTGACCCTTAAACTACGCATCAAACTTTTATTTTAGATTCATCGTTGACTAACGTACTTTTCGACGAACGTAACTTTCCCATGTCATCGGCTCCCATTTTGTGTAATTTTCACCTCTTGTCGATTCAACTGACATTAACCTTAAGATCGACTGTGGCCATTGGAACCTCAGTACGAAATATTTAGTTTAGCCGTCAGAATATTACCAATTCCAAGAAGTTTGTGCCCATAAAAATATTTATTTCAAATACACAAAATGTAAGCCATTAGCAAATCAAATCATATATCATAACACAAAACATGAATAAAGTGAAGACGAGAGACCCTTAAAAATCGATTGGCCCATAGCATATGCAAAGAAAAATAAAAAACCACATCGGTATCCTAATAGTTATTTTCGAAGAGTTGCATTTTTTGCACGTTTAAAATTTCGTCTTCTTAAATTATTATGTACGGTAGCACGGTAACGATGAACCCATCCAATGTTCAGTCGTGTGATTTCCACAGCACTTAAAATGGTTCTCCATGAATGCTGAAAGATGTCACGTTTCTTAGCTAGGAACTCTAATATTCCAATGTTATGTTCCATTGATGCTACTTGTCTCGCTAAAGATAAAATTAAATTAATTACATCCTTAGAGATGGTCCCGTAACTATGAAATGAATATAAAACAAATTTCAAAAACAAAATTTACTAAAATATACGCATAGGGACTTACTATTCCCGTAGCTGATCAAAGTGTTCGAAAAAGTAGTCCTTAGCAATAGGAAAACCTATTTTATTTCGTGCTATACTTTCAAATGCAGCGGCAGAATCTTGTCGATGTATATATTTCGTATTATTAAACATCAAATCAAGAAAATTGCTTAAAGTGGTCTTATTTCTTGAACAGGATAATGCCTGGATTATTGTTCGCTGCTCGGAGACGATTATATTTGATTCTTGTAAGTATTGCCATAAAAATTCCCAATCACTTTGATTGCCATATTTGATTGCCGTTGAATATACAGTTAACCTTAAATTAATTGGTATTTTATTTATATTTGAAATTTTCCAATTTGCGAAATATTGTTTAGCTGCATTTACGCAATCATCAATTTCCAGATGACAAGCCCAATAACTTATTTGCGTTTTATGCATAAGATCAATATATGAAATTTCTTTCTCATCTTGAGTACTATTTAAACCGTGCAACGTATTATAGGTAGGTAGTATAAGATACTTGAGGAAATTCTAAAAGAATTAATATAATAATAATTGCACTACTATTAATACTCACTCATTAGTTATTTGAAAAATTACCGTAAAAAGTTTATAGGTTTTCTCGTAACCCTTCAATATGTTATCAAGTTTGATGAAACCACGTAAAGCTGTTCGCCATGGTAAATAATCTTTTTCATATTGTAAATAGTTTAATATATCCAAAGTTATGCGATAATTAATATAGCCTGCCCAGGCAAGCGATAGAGAATCGTCAATCAATTGAGCACGATTCAGAACGTGTATCTGCGTATATTTATCACTATTCAATGTACGATTTAATAAAGCCCAATTTTCTGCATCATACGTAACTCTATATAAGCCCAACATTTGCACATTAAATATAATCCAATCGCCTTTCTCTGCCATATCGTTCAATGTTATATTTATATTTTCTTTATCTTTTTTGCATTCGAGCCAGTATGATGGTCTAAGCTTATAGAATTCTAATCGCGATGCACTTGCAAGTGTTATTGGTATCCACCAGCATCGTTTAGTCGCATTTTTTGCCTGTGAACTATTTAAAAAAAAACGCTGCTGCGTAACATACGCATTACCGTTGGAATAATTTCGAATAACTTTTACTAAAGGATAGCCGGCCTGTGACGTCCACGAATGTAAAACTACTTTTATGTCATTCCTTCGCTGATAAGTATGAGCCATTATGCTGAAACTATTCCATAAACTACCGTAATTATCAGCCGTATACAGGAATTTCGACAAGTATTGACGTATGCCACTAAGAAAAGCGTCGTCACCTACGATCATGTGTAACATACGCAAGAGCATTGCCCCTTTTTTATAAGAGAGTGAATCGAAACGTCCGGTTATTTGAGCGGTGGACTTAACTCCTTGTGTGAGCGCATGACTGTTGATTTGAGCATCATATTCAAAAACATCTAAAATATTATTCATAGATTCGACTTGTAGATAATTCCAATTACTATTTAAATGATGAACGCCTAAAATGGACATATATGTAGCAAAGCCTTCATTCATCCATATATCTGACCACCATTTCAAAGTTACTGCATTACCGAACCATTGATGAGCTAATTCATGAGCTACCAGCGCAGCTAAACGCTGTCTACTCATTTCTGATGAGATATTCGAAGAAAATAACAACGAGCTCTCCCGATAAGTAATTAAACCCCAATTTTCCATAGCAAGAGCCCCAAAATTTGGTACAGAAAGTTGATTCATTTTCGTAAAAGGCAAAGGCACTGCTAAAAGCGACTCAAAAAACTTATATAGCTCGGGTGCTATTTGAGCGGCAAACTCGCATTCATTGATAATATCCGGACGAGACCAAGTATAAAACTTCACACCATAATTACCCGATAATTTGTAAGTGAAATTATTCACAGAGTATGCCACTAAATAGGTTGGGATAGGTACAGTTTCCTCAAAAATGCTCCAAACATAGTTATCTGTTTCATTGCTTCCCAAATACATCTTTTCTTGTTTAGCTAAAGGCATATTGCTTAGGGCAACAAGAGATTCCTGATGGCCCAACCAAATTTTAAATTTCGCCCTAAAATTCGGTTCATCAAAACAGGGAAAAGCAGTCCTAGCATAAGCTGGCTCAAATTGAGTAATCGACATCCATCTAAAAAAAAACAAAGAGCAAATGCATATATTTACTTAACAACATAAATGTAATATGAACAGAGAAAAAAAAGCAAAACTCACTTGGTTTCATTCGTCACTTTATCCATATACGAGCTTTGATAATAACCATGTAAGAGTTGATTTAGTGGACCTCTAAACGCTAACTTAAGCGCATATGTTTCACCCCTTAGCAATGCAAGGCAGCTATGTATGATGTAATAATCATGCTCGTCCATGACTCTGACCGCATCGATGGCATAACGCGTTGACTGCTCGTAATCATATTTTATCAGTTCTATGCTGTTTTCATCGATTGTAAGATTTCGAGCGTGCAATGTTATATTTCCGGTGCCGATAAGAACTTGAAACCTGATAATGACTTCACCAACAAACGTTAGATGTAATGGATCTAGTAACGTTACAATCTTTAAGGTGTAATGCTCTGGTTTTAAAGATTCTGGTAGCCGATAATGTGTATAATTTGTGAAGCGAGATCTAGACGGCTTGGCTGCACAGCAACTGGAAAAGATCGCAATCAAAAGCACCTTTACTACTACACCTATATATGATTGCAGCATTTTCGAATGTAGCAAATTTAAAAAATTTTCTCCGAAAAAAAAACCTAAACAAAAAAAATTATTCCTCTGCCGATTGTCACAAGTGAATAATTAAAAAAAATCATATCAAAAAAATTTTGAAAAAGATATAGTCATCGTCTCCAACATATGTTTTTAGACAAATCAAAAACTTTGAATTGTTTCGGTTTATGTATACCCTGCACCTTAAATTAATACACAAAAAGGAATCTTAATCAATGGCGAATCATTTTGCCAATAAATACAGTTTTTAGATATACCCTTAGATGCTAATGCTTTAAGAGGTTAATCTTAGAATTAATTTCTTTGGCGAAATTAATAATAATAATAATAATAGATATAGTCTGTGAAATATTTGTATCGAAGTTAAAATCAACATCGTCTGATAATAATGCTACAGTCACCTGTTTGACAAAAACGAATACATGGGCGAAAGCTAACTTTCAGCTACGCGATTTTCACCCAGATGGGATTTTGAGTTGATAACAACCCTGTTCTTGATTTATTTGGCGCAAAAAGACAAATAAAACAAATCAAACGCGATTGATTTTTTTTTTTTTTTTGTATTTATTGCTTTCACCATCAAGTCAAAATAATAATTTTGAAAGCACTAAACTCCAAGCTGGACGGCGTAGCAACAGCAATAAATTAATTAGCGTCGTGGGTGAAGTTATCTAAGAATTATCGAGGTCTTACGCCACGGGATCGGTACGGAGAATCTGAGCGTGAGCGTGAGTTGCGGCGAGAAGGAGAACGAGATGCCGCTCTTTTCCTTCCCCTACTTAGGCAGAACATATCATGGTTCAGAATGATTCATAATTGCGATTATATTTATCAAATAAATATATATGTATATACATGATTATGATGTTCAGCTAAAAATGTTATGTAATTGCATGAGTAGTGAAGGTTTTTTTTTTTACTAATTGATAAGAATATGGCCTCTGTCTGCTTAACGTTTACAAATACTTGGGCCAGTTCCAATGCATTGCGCGATGGCCTTGAAAGTGGCAACAAAGCGTCTTTTCAAAGAATGTGGCCCCACATTGTTTGGGATTTACAGATACTTGGCCAGTTGGTGCAAAAATTGCAGTGATTCGAACGAAGGTGGGCATGTGTGAGGATATGTATAATAAATTTTTGGTGGAGAAAATACTGAATAACGAAGTCAATACATTTTGTATTGTTATGTTACGACCAAATCTCATTCGATTCATAATTTCAACAAATTTCTATATAAAAGCGTAGAGCCGATAGCCTGTGTTGCTAGTGCTCAATGTCTTTTTTTCAGTCTAAGAATTCAATTCATTAGTCTAAAATTAAAATAATAATAATAATAATATATAAAAGCGTAACCGGATTGAAATATTTCTTCTAAAGATTTTAAAAATGAACATTTGCGAGCGAAGAAAAGCGTGTGTACAATAATTGTCTAACAAAAATTTCCTATCCTTTAGCCATATTGGGAACTACTTAAAGTCATAATAAGTGCGATTAAGGGACCGGGCGAGTGCGGTTTTACTTTATAGGAACTGACTCTGGCGAGATATTAAAAAGAAAAACTTTTCGGTAAAGTGTTAAAAGTATGGAAAGCAAAAATGCTATGCATAAAGAGCTCAACACCAATTAGAGATTTATTTCGGTAATTGTAGCTATTTGAAAAGTTGGATAGCAGATATCAGATGTCATTCTTGTATATATGGTTCATGACCGTTCAAAAAATTCGTGAGTAAAATTCCAGAATTCGGAAAACCTTTAATTTAAATAATTTTGCATTACGTAACTTTTGAAAAATCCGCAAACAAATTTGTTTTGAATCTATCTACTGAGTGTGGTCGGAATAATAGAGAAATTTTTTGCCAAGTTAATGCAATTGGTCGAGTTTTTATACCCCACGCCACTTGTGATAGAGAGTATATCAAGTTAGTAGGTATAGGGGGTATATTAGGTAGGTTAGAGGGTATATTAAGTTAGTGCGGACTTATACAACACCCAGGAGGGTTGGAGGTAGACCCACCTTTCATTATATCGTTCGATTTAAAATCATCATCATAATTTTGTCGATATTTTGGTACACTGATGTACTTCGAGCCAAGGACGAACGCTATTGAAACTTTTGCGACCCCTCCCCATACAACGCCGTATCCTGAAAAGTCGTTATATGGAAAAAACTTGCAATATTCAAAATCTCTGGGCAAAAGTAAACAAGTAGTAGTACTGCGGCATTCTAAGTTGACGTGAAAGTTTTGGAATCGCTCTCAAATAACTGTTCCTGGGGAAATTGAAGTCCTGTGTGGTAAAATGGTCGAATTATCAATATTTCATGGTAAAAATTGTCTCGTAATATTAAATTGACAAAGAAATCTACCTTATCAAATTTGGATCACGTAGTTCTACTTTCTGTAGACCACCGGATATAAGGATTCTTATGAAACGTAAACGCTTATATGCCAAATAAAACTAATTGCTATTTTTTTCATGACGCAAACTTGCTCATGATAGTAATTAAATAAAAAAAACCAAATGGACCTAATTTAAAAAACATGGGTCTACTTCTCCCCCGCCACTCCATATAATATATCACAAGATATCTTAATAACACATAGAAGCGTTGCAGCAAAAAAAATTAACGGTGAGGAATTTGGATCGCATAGGCCTATCATTTTTGAACCCCCCTTATAGAAGCGCTGCCACGAAACACAAACACTTATATAGAGAAATATTTGACCATCCAATATGCGGGCTGTCGTGAAATATATGGTTCCGCAAGAAAATATTGTTTACTTTTTGGTGTATTATTTATTATCAAAACGAGCGAATAACTACAGTAAGTGAAATGGTGCAGTGCATGCATTAGTTGATGTTGCCCGATTGTAATGCTCGTACTTGCGTTCTGCGGTCATTGGCGAAAACACAGTCAAGTTCAGCGTATAGCTCAAAAGAAAAATTTTATTTCATCAGCAATAACCAATAAGTCAATAAATTTAAGGAAAAATTCATCAAATAATCCTAATTAACCAAAATATACTCAGGACCGTCAATTTATTGAAAAAGAAATTATAACATATTACTGGAGATATAGGTCCAACCAATAATCAATAAGTCAATAAATTTATGGAAAAATTCATCAAATGTTCCTAATTAACTAAAATATACTCAGGACCGTCAATTTATTGAAAAAGAAATTATATTATATATATATATACATTACACTACTGGAGGTATAGGTCTGTATGTTAAAGGCCTCTCACCTAATGTTCTTCACAAACCAAAAAAAAAAAAAAAAAATAGTACAATTGTTCAATAGACGTCTTATCCTACCAGCCGTCAATCTTCTTGAGTTTATCAAGACCTCAGTTCTCTCAGTCATTTCGAGAAATAATTGCATTATGAATTCTCTGAGCGATTCCCTGAAACTGCCGTCAAAGGTTGGATAATCTTTTGAATAACATACATCTTCACATTGTCACGAACTATAGAAATTAATTCAATCACTCTTCTATATATCTATATATTAAAATACACTTAAGCAATAAAAATATTTTTCGAGTGACTCGTAGCAGACATTATGTTTATATAAAAATTTTATGCTAGTTTGAAATATTCGAAACGCGCATACTTTATTCCAAATTAAAAAGTTGTGTAAAAAGGAAAATTTTCAGTGATAAAAATAATGAAAAAAAACGATAAATATTCGAAAAACAATTATGTCTTCGCTCAATCTTCGCATAGTATACGTTCGAAACGCGCAGAATCGAATAATGGGGGAGCAGGAAGGAAGATTCAGAGTCGTAATCCATTCTTTCATTACTTGAATGCTTATCGCAAGACCGTTCGCAATTATCCTCGCTCAATATGGAGTATTACGGCGGAAGCTGCCAAATCTTGGAATGAAATGCCAATGGAAGAGAAAAGCATTTACATTGAAAAAGCCCGTCACGCTGGTCATATTTATCATTTACGTGATCCTCGCATGCAGCTTGTTCTCGGTCAATTGCGAAAAGGTTTGGCAAGTCAGACGACTTTAAATATTCCACAAATGGCGACAACTGTAGACCTGATGCAATTATGGAAAAGACAAACATTAATGGAAGTTTTGGAAACCAATAAAAAATCAAAAAATATTGGACGCCATTTTTCAAGCTAGCAGGTCCAAGCATTCTTTTCGTCATAAGTTTTGTACCAGTTTTTCCAGCAATGCTACGCTCAACGCGGGCACTTGTGCCGTCCCGACTGCAGCTGGGTGCTTGGAATTCTTCTATTTGATAGTTTGCTAATTTTAATTAATTTGGTTTTTTTTGTTATTTATTCATCAATCAGGAAAAGAAAAACAATTTGTATGAAGTAAAATTTCATAGTAAGGTTTGAAATGAAAATAAAAACATGGAATTAATTTTCGTCATAAAATACTAAAAATTAAGCCCTTTTCGGAAGGGCTTATTACTCAGAAGATATCTTACATGAAGTGGGGCCAAGAAGTAGACCCATGTGGTTCCAACTAGGTCCGCTTAATTTTTGTATTTAACTACTGCCATAAACGAATTTTCTTCACAAAAAAAAATTAACAATTAAGCTTTTTTAGGATATAAGGACATTAAGGGTTCATGAGAATCCTTATACGCGATGGTACGTGACAAGGTAGATTTCTATTCTCTGCAACTTTCACCGTGAAAAATTGGAAATTAGATCTTTTTGCTATGTATAGTTTCAATTTCCGTTGGACCTATTATGTGGGAGGGCGCTTTTCACACCAGTTTAGAATGCCTGAATGATAATATTTAGTCATTTTTGCCGAAAAATTTTGAAAATTGCAGTATTTTTTTCATATAACAATTTTTCAAAAGAAAGGAGATTAATCGAAAAAGTGGATCGATCCAAAACATTTTCAATAACGCTTGTCCTTGAATAAGAGTACGCCCGTGTACTAAAATTTCTCAAAAATTGTAACCTGTAGCTTGAACACAAGTTTATACGGACATTCCATAGACCGACAGACAAGCTTAGATCGATTTGGAAAATAATTCTGAATCGATCGATACAATAAAAGCAGGGTCTGTCTTAAGCCCTTCTGGATGTTACGTATGTTCGCATTAACTTTTTATATCTGTACCACAAGTGTTGTAGGGTATAATAAGTGACCACCCGTAGACCATCTTGTGGGCAGAGAGATTTACTTGAGTAGTAAAACAAGTTTTCATTACCTTCTTGTAGTATCAAGTATTGGCTCTGTGGAATTGCAACCTGCTACAAAGTAGAAAAGCAAAGATGACATCTTAGTTGTAATCCTTTTAGTAATAGTTTTATACAAAAGTGATGCAAGAGACTGCTTCAGTATATTATTATAATATGTATTTTATATTTAATTATTTTTATTTACCGTTACACCTAAATAATGATTAATTTTGAAACTACAGCGACTTATTTAATCCCATGTTTCTGTCTGCTGGTGGGTTCACTCTCGTTAGGGATTTATTTGTTTTCCGAAAGCACGCGATACCTCCAAAATTAGATCTGGATGTGCTCTGATCGCGTCTTGCCAAGCTTGCGTTTGCATGACGTCGGTCACGTGACTATTGAAGAAAACATAAATTGCATTAAAATCAATAAAATATTAAAATGTTTATAGGCGAGATTTGAATTAAGAAAAAAAGTCTTATCCTTCTTACTGACCCAATACTACATCAGCACACTGATGCTGCCCGTCCCTTGCATTTTAAAGCTTGAGCCGACACTTACGTTTTAATGAAAGCGATGCTTTGCGCTTTCAGTTGACCTGTAGTATAGAGGTGAGCTGATACGAGGGTTTCGACAGCTGTTTCTACCGAAAGGGTAACATTCAGAGCGTTTTCACACATTCCTTTAAGATCTTCTAAAGCGTACTACGAAAGAAGGAAACATTTAATGTTTGAATAAATTAAAAGAACTTATCACTCAACTACATTACCTTATCAGCAGCTACCAGCAATCCATGGGTCATTTCATATAAATTAGGCGCTTTCCCGATATACATGAATCTTAACATTTCGTTTAGAACTTCATGATCGATATCGGTAATGACGACTCGACTAAGCTTGTTTTCCACCATTTTATGTTCGAACATGGCTGCAAACACCTTACTGCGAGCTTTTAGAAGAAAGGTTGATAAAAAGTTCTTTACTTATCTAGCAAAACACAAAAAGTAAATTTTAACGGAAATCAACAAAATGTCTCCCTCGGAACTTTCCATTAAAGGTAAGCATCTTAGTAGGTTGGTTGGGACAATTATTATGTAGGCTAAGAGCATCTAAAATCATAAGAAATATTTTTCCTAGTTTTAATAAATCTCATCTGAAAGCTAGAAGTTACGTGATACACTCTTTGGCTATGGGTAGCCCACATTAAGCTTCAATGCGAAGCCCAATAACGCATTAGAAGGTATCATCTTGCAATAATAAACGACAGATCGATCCAGTCAAGGGCACATGTTTAACGGAGTCTTCAATGCGTATTTCTGGGAGTTCAAAATGAAGAGTCCAGTATAACCGCCAGCAATCAGAAGAAATAAACTGCGCTCATGTAGTAGCAGAGCTATTTATGGTTTTTTTTTTCTTCTAACGACCAGAGCAAAAGTTCCGACATGATCCCACATTAACACAAGTGCTCGTGTCATCAGTCAGATAAGGAAATGTTCGCCATAGTGTGTAAAATATTAAGCCTCAAAAAAAAATATATCACTTCAGTCAATCGGATGTGGAGGATATGCCCTCCATGAAAGGATGTTCCTATAAAGAATTGGGAGACCATCTTCGAGAATATCTTCGTAGTAAGTAAATCTTTCATTTTGAAATTCTGGCAATTTCAAGTTTATTTGCTTTATTAGCGCTTGAAAGTGTGTACAGGTGAGACCGAATAGCTCGCATTCCTCTTCTATGCGGAATTCGCGCTGTTCCCAAATACCACGAAACGAATTTACCTAATTATAGAAGACTTAACTGCGTTTTAACGTTCATTAGAATAAATAAATAAAATAATTGACACAAAGATATAGTGCATGGAGTAAGGCGTTTCTCCCGTTTTAATAAACGGAACGGTCGAAAGTGTTGTGTTTGAAAAGTATTATACATAATCAAAATTTCTGCTTGTTCGCTATAGTTAAACACATTGAATTATGCATAATACGTCATATTCCGTGATGGCGCATATGCATCTCGGACGATATCCAGAAATTTATATCCGACAGTTTTTATAAAGTCAGAGTGTTCTATATCTATTAGCAAAAACAACAAGGCGACGCTTTCTTTTCGTGCCAGCTCGCAGCGTATATACAACAACATAAACCACAAGACCCTTGCCTTCCGTGACAGTTGAAAACGAAAGGAATGGTTCTTCCCATGTTTATCAACTCTTTTCACATCTATCAGCCATAGTTTCTCTGCAGGGACTTCGCAATTGATGGAATGATGAAATCCATATGTTTTGTACATCGAAATAAAATGTAAAAGACTTTTTTCTTTTTCGACTTACCAGCTAAAATAGTTTTGTGTGCCTTGATTTCGTGTTCACTGACCGCGAATGTAACATCGCTAAACTCATGATTAGTAAATAAATCGTCGAAATCTTCACTTAATTTATCGTCGGTAACCGTAGACTGTATTATTTCCGGTTGGTCGATTGGATTCGTGATATTAACGATGTGTACCTCGCTAATCTCACAAACAATAGTTAGTTTACCACCAGGCAGCAAATCCTTGGCTTCGTTTAGTAAAGTATTCAAATTTATAAAGCATCTATAACCCCAACCCGCAGACTTTTCGCCAAAATGACGCACTCTGTGAAATGAGAATATGAATTGAAAGGAGAATGTTTTCCCCTTAAGAAAAAGAATATGCCTACTCCGTCGATCTGCTAACATTTTCTTGTTCCTTTTTTAGATTTAAAATGCTGAAGTTAAATGCGACTTTAACTGAGGGAGTTTTACAATGTAAATATAATGATAATTGTTTTTCATCTACGACGTCTAGCACGAGGTACCTGTAAAAAAGCACATTTAAGGAATAATTGATTTAAAAATAAGTCAAGATAAAGGGGTTAGCTATCACTTTACCATTTTAATTTATCGTTAGTCCCAGACGAAAATGTTGGAGATACTAAGGGTTCTCTTATTTCAGCCATGTCGTAACACCAAATACTAAAATTTCCTATAGTCCAGGTAAAAACCGATTTATCCATTTTAACCTGGAATAGAAACCAAGATAAACAATTCGAATGAAAAACCACTTTAAAAACGTTGGTAGCTTTATTTACCTCTGTATGGCCGTAACTTGCATTCAGAGAGTTACTATCTGCCGATGACATTGTATTGTTTCTAGCTTTTATATTCAAACACGCTTCACTAGTTTGGGATAACGAAATGGCTATTTATCATTAATTTATAACGCAGTAGCAAAAAAATTAAAAGAATTAAAATAAAATGTTTTTATGCTTAAAGAAAATCATCCAACACGATGTTTTTCCTTTTGAACGCGAATGTTAAGATTGAAAGGCAAAAGTGCTTTAAAATCACTTGAGCTTTTAGAAATATATACTCCCGAATGGATCGGCTATTGATTTGATTAAATTTACAGATTTTTCTTTATTAATATAGCAACAGTTTCCACTTGTTCGAGGTATTTTAATAATTTTCTTTTCAAGACAAAGCTGCCCGTTATGATTCATATGAAGTCTAGCTTAATATAAACACCGTAACTATGTACTGATAGCAAGTTACCTTATATGCCTCTCAACGCCAAATCAAAAGTGTACGAAGAAAAAGCAGAAATTGCGTTGGCTAGCGACAGATCCGACGAAAATGTTGATGCTAATAAAATAATTAAAAGAACTTTGAGCTTTTATTAGGATTTGATATTTTTATTCCACTCTTAGAGAAAATTAGTAGATTTGAACAGGCTTCCGCTAACACGAATTGTGACTGAAGTACGAAAAAATCTTCACGGTTTAACGTGCTGCTTACAAAAATTCAGTGGGAAATCCCAGTTTTGCTTTCAACACACACTTACACGTCCAGTAAAACCTACGCAGACGTTTTGATTGCCAAGTATTTTTCAGAAAACTACCTTTCTTAAGATTGCCAGCATACGACGGTAAAGTAATGCAACGCAATGTCAGCAATGTGCGATAACCTTAAACCTGTAGGCATACTTATAAAAAATGAATTGCTTGATGGAGCAACTTATCGGTTCTCTCGTATTTAATGCAGGTGCAATATCAAATTTCTTCGCGCCAGAGTGATGTCAGAGCGAGTTGACTACGAAGTTGATGAATCCAAATTAATTCAAGGGCTCTGTGTGTCTATATGGAAATACATTTAAATGAAAATGCTTTCGGAATATTCGTTTTACCTATCAATCATATTTCTAACAAAATTTTGTGTTTATTTGGAAAAATCGGAAATCGAGATATTTATTGCAAGTGAAGAGAAATTCTGCATTAACAATTAATATGGAAGAAGACGGTAAAAGTTCTAGAAGCAATCCTTTTTTTGATCAGTCGATGTTTTCAACCTTAAAATTGAAGATTCGAACTATTATTTTAAGATTGCCAGCACACGACGGTAAAGTAATGCAACGTAATGTCAGCAATGTGCGATAACCTAAGAATTGCGGGCGTATTTTTCATAAAATAAATTGCTTGATCATGCAACTTTTACGCTCTCTCGTATTTAGGACAGGTTCAATATCAAATCTCTTCGAGTAAAACTTTCTAAGTAAGAAATTGATCGGGAGAGCGTAGGAAGGAATGTATATGTGCATTAAAGAATAACTTAATATCGATCATCAGCGCCTCGCATTTCATATAATTTACACAATCTTAACATTGAGCACTACTCTTAGAGCAAGACTTCCAGGACCGGTAAATAATGGAATGTGATCACCTAAGCATCATTTAAATAATCTGAAAATTTTCCCTATGCAGAATATGTATTTTTTTCCAAATCAAATTTGCATTAAACCCACTGCATCTCATAAAGTCCACTAAGTGACTCCGGTTTTGCTATTTTTTAATATTTTTCGAATTTATGTATATGTTTTAATGCTTATATATATTTCCCCTTTCTCTTCAACCCCGTTGAAATTATTATTGTATTACCTCCTGCCCCTCTTTTCTAAAGAAAAGTCAGAAATAAGCTTTTTAACACAACTGTACTCGCAACAAATTATCCTACAGCAGTCTGGCATAAAAGCGATTATCTTCACCTATGTGTGTGCTGTGGCCGCGTGCCCTGCTATTTGCGAATATTCAAAATATCTTTTTGGATTTCATCATAATTGATATTCGTTTAGTACCATTATAATTTTTTTTTATAAAAAGTTGGGGTTTGAGTTCATTTTAGTATATTAGTATAATATGTATTTTTTGGGTGAAGTGATAATTATCATTATTTTTGTTTATTGCTATGGCTAAATAATGATCGCCTTCCGTAGGTAACCATAGCGATAATTTCAGTTCCTCTTTCCGTTTATTTGACCGTCGAATCGTAGATATTATTTTTATAAGACAGCACGTTTTAACTCTTCAGCTAAACGCGAATGCGTTGCGCGCATCTGCTGCCAACCTTCAGTTTCCATAAATTCGTCGATATGACTGTTAAATAAAGAAAAATTGAAATCAATAAAATATCAATATATTGTTACGAAAATGTTATATTTAATAATTTGAGTTTTCAAGTCTAACTTCATGGCCCGTTACCTGCGACATGCTGCAGAAGACTGGCGAAAAGATTAACAATTGATAAAAAATTTACAGCAAAAGCCAACGGACAAATGGATTCAAAATATGGGAATGAATTTAGGTAGTGGTAATTTGTTTATAAAAGGATATATAAGTAGAATATTTGCGCAAAGCATAGTCAACCGTAAGCGAGTTGAGAGAGTCGAGTGCAGAGATTTGAAGGGTAATATTCGAACGAAAAATGCTAGAACGAGAACGAAAGCGTTGTAACTTTAAGTTCCTGTAAATAATTTGTTTATCGTTTTCCAATTGTGTAGATAAAACCTAAACTATCAGCAGTACGAATTGGTTTCAAAAGTAATTGAATAAATAACGTAAAATTCACAAAACACGGATTTCCACGGTCAACACTCATTGAAAAAAACCGATTTCAACCTCTTCAACAAAAATTACCTTCTTCTCAATACAATATAACACATACTGGGATCTTCCTCAGCATCTATTTGAATTCTATTCGACTCTTATCTCAAACCTACAATAAATATTTTATATGTTTTCAAACGCAGATTCGCATAATGGATTCTAGATCCAATCCGCATAGAATTATATCAAACTACAAAGGCAAAGAAAAACAAAAAAAATAATAAAGCGTACAAAGGGTACACTTTTAAGAAGGTTTGAAAATTGCTAGCATGAAGTACTGTACGTACGTTTTTTCATTTTGTTTTCCTCGCGTTATGTTTAATAAGCATAAAACCTTAAAAAAAGTGAGATATATAAAATTTAATCACTTGTAACTACGACCGACTTTTCTCACTTTTGCACGTAAAGAGTAGAGTGTTCCCTAAAGTAACTATGGAAATTATCACATTTCTAAATTTTATAATTTTTGAGTAGCGAGTAAAAATCCACAAATTTTTATTAAAAAAAAATGGAGTTACATTCAGTGGGGGCTTCTGCTCTCAACAAGTTGGCCTATTTTCAGTCAATATCCCCAGTTTTGCAACCAGAAGAGTGCCAACAACATACCCCAAAGGCACGCAGACGGATAGACATGGCTTAATCAATTCAGAATCGCACGCTGGTCAAGAATATCTATACTTTATAGGGTTTTAGAAAAGAACATAATCAGCACAACCCACTCCTTCAGTGGTAGATGTCATAATAGTAATAATAGACAATTTTTCATGTTCGAATTTTTTTAACTTTGTATCGGAATGTACGCATCGAAATGGGCCGGTGGGTAGGTGATTCCAAGAATAAAAAGAATATTATGGAAGGTTTGCCGAATGACCTGATGTTATCACGCTACGGAAAGGATGGCGTACGACGATCAGCCGCAGGAAGTGTCGGGTAATTGAAGACAAAGTTAAAGGCCCCCTTAAGAAGAACAATCCGACAACACGAAATAAAAATGAGTTATTTGGGCCGAACGCTGAGAATATAAAGAGAAAACTAGGACGGTTTAGAAGTGAACGCTTCTTTAAAGTGTTAAGTCTTCAGCAGAAGAAAGAATATTCTTTTGTTTTAATGAAAATTTCGGAGGTAAACAAACTTGGAAAGCAGATGACTACTTTTAGTCATCACACAAAAATCAGAAAAAATCGTTTCCCACTTTGTTCCACTGATAAAAAAGGAATGCATGACAAAAAAGCAGACGTAAAACTTCAAAGCAAAATACTGTGCAACCTAAAGAGGTGCGTTTGGTGCTTCATCATATCGATAAGATCCTTTCTCATGAAGGACTTTTAAAACGTAAAGGTACTTACGCTTTGATGAACGTTATAATTTTTGCCTTCAGCTGATCCGCTTTATGTAAATCAGCCAGTATTAGAGTTTCGGCAGCATTTTCTATCGAAGGGTCAACGCACAGTGAATTTTCACATATTGTTTTAAGACTTCCTAAAGCATACTGCGGAAGAGGAGAAGTTTTAATATTTAGATACGAATCAGGAAAGAAAACTTCATTTAATGACATTACCTTGTCGGCTGCTGTTATTAAATCGAGAGCAATGTCATTTAAATAAGATACTTTGCCCGTGTATATGTACGTTAGCATCTCATTTAATACACTATGGCTGATATCGGCTATCACAACACGATTAAGTTGGCGCTCTTCCATTTCGTGCTCAAACATCGCTGCAAACACGCTGCTGCGAGCTTTTAAAAGAAAAAAAAAACGTGTAAGCTATGAATCAGACAAGAATTTTAGTGGAAATGAAGAAAATACATCTCCAAAATTGTTTTCATTCGACTTTTATGCAGAATTTCAAATGCCCTAAGAAATATCTTCGTTAGATTTAAATAAATATCGCCTATAGGTTTGCAGGATGTACTTCCTGAGATTGATACAATAATTGTAGTTGGATTACCTTCGTTTTGAAACTTAATTTGCACATCACGTTTAATTTTGTGCCACAAAAATTTGGGTGAAGCTTCAAATCGAATCAGAATTTTAATCTGATTAAGAAAATTTGTTAATCTTGAATCTTCCATACATAGTTGTGGGTGTTAAAAAAGGGAAAGCAAGTCCAGTATAGTTCCTCAGAAAGTCTTTAGAAATATTTGCAATTTGGACTTTTCTGGCGAAGAGAATTACTTAGGATGATGATATGAATCAAACATGCTGTTCTAAATAAAAGCTTTACGATCCCATTTCGGCACATTTAGCAGGCATGATCAATCAGACGAGGGGATATTTGACAAAATAATTTCCACAAAGCCTTATTAATTACATTATATTAGTTTACATTAAGACCTATGGGTACATACGAAAGGCATTTCGAGATCATCTACTCTACAAGATATGTGTGCATATGAAAAACTTTTCGCGATCGTCTTTAAGTAGTTTTAAGCGAAATAATTTTTTAATTCAATTTCAATTTTTCAACTTACCAGCTAATATATTTTTATGAGCCCGAATTTCATGGCCATCCACGGCCAATGTAACATCGCTAAACTTTCCAGTTTGGAGTAAATTTCCAAAATCTAACCTCAACTTGTCTTCGTCTTCTTCATATTTTCCTACTATCAAATGCTCAGTGATATTAACTATATATTCCTCGTCAATCATACAAGAAATTACTAGTTTATCTCTAATAAGTAACCCATGGTTATCGTTTAGCAAAGAGTCTTCATATACATCCATATAGGTAAAAGGTGTTTCTACAGTGAAAACGTGAGAACTGCAAAATGGAATATGAAAATATAAAAAGCAATAACGTTACTTTTATTCTGTTATTAAAGAAAAAGGGCGTGTATACCTTTCTTTAGTTACGAAGACTATTTCTCCTATTGAATTCAATAGATTAAACTTAACTTTGGCGTTAACTACATTCTTTTTGCTGGATTTCATATATAAATATACCTTCATATAGAATGTACGACGGGGTTCGCAAGGCATCAGCGAAAGCTGCCTAAAAATGTGAGAATTAGTACAATAAATATTTTAGAAATAAATCTAAAAAGCATTAATATGTCGCCTTACCATTCTGATTCATCGTTAGGCCCAGTTGAAAAGACTGGCGAATTTACTCCTCTCCTATGACAAATGCTAAAGTTGTCTATAGTCCACGGATAAAGGCATTTGTGCACTTTCACCTGGAATGGAAAGCAATCTAAATATTATTAATGAAAATTTAAATGGCACTCAAGCTTTTTCATAATGGCTTAAGCTCTCTCTTTATCCACCTTTGTATGGCCGCTAGTTTCGACCGACTTAATACTTCGTGACGATGCCATTGGAATGTAATTTAATAACTACTTGAAATTTTTGCTCGCAGATAATATTTGACTTTGAAGCAGGGCAATTAAAGGAATAAAGTAATTTGTTTTTTTTTTTTTTTTTTTTTTTGTTTAAAAAGGGGCCTATGACTTTCCAATTACTTGTAGACTTGTTTCTTTTACTATGACTTCAATTTTCTTTATTTTTTCTTTACTATTATTATGGCTTAGTTTTCTTTTTTCAGTTTATTCAATTTCTTCTAATTAAAAATTTAATCCAATAAAAGTAAGAAAGAAAGTCTAACGCTGTGATATCCTTTTAAAAGCTAGTGATCACGCAAGTTTCTAATAAGGAAAGAAAACTTATCGGGAAGTGCCAGCTTTAGTTTTTATCAAACAAAAGAAAAAACGCACAGTCACGCATTCCCCTATAACAACAACCACGTGCACGTTTTGGTTGCCAAAAGTCTTCGAAAAAAGCCGCAATTTTGAAATTCACCAATATCATATTGAAAGGTAACGGTACATAGTGCCAAGGAAAATA